GCGGCCGCCCGCCCGCCGCGGCAGAGCGCCAGCCGCGGCCTGCGCAGCCCGCGGCTCCGGGGGGCCACCAGGCATCGGGAGGCCGCTCGCCCGCAGAGGGAACAGAGCCGCGGGGCCTTGTGGTACCCCCGGCTGAGCAGCCACAGGATTCAGCTGGAAAAACTTCAAATAAATGTATTTTCAAATAAATACAGTTGGCTACTTTTAGCGCGGTCAGCGGCCTTCGCTTGTACTTTGAAAGCAAATTTGATATAAAAAAATTCCAATTTATTCATTCCAGGATGGTAGCGTAAACCCAGCTCCAACGTAGGAGGTCGCTTTCAGGCCGTTTCGCCTGAAAAGCTGGACAGACAAGAACCAAGAACGAACTCGGCTGGGAACTTTGCGAACTCCCTGTAAAGGCAGGATGCAGCTCTGCGCTCTGTCCCCTTCGCTGGCGGGAAAGTGGGTGTCAATTCCCCAAAATTCAGAACAATGTCCTCTCAGTAGAAAAATAAAGCAGCTGTAAAAATTCACAGCAGTTATGGTGACTATATTCCATGTTCTAATACAGAAAACAGGCCGAAAGTACTTTCCGTCTATTTAATGTCACCGGTTTCAGCAGCGTTGCACTGGAGACACTCTAAACAACGTGACATTTTTACACTTTCACCTGACGCGGGTTTCAATCCATCGCGCTCCCAAGCTCCCACTGATGTTTCACATTCAGTTTCGGGTCTGAAGAGCCAAACCCCACGTGAAACCCAAGCGAAAGCCACGTGTTTGCTGTATTTGCACAGAAACTGTAACTGTTGCATTGCTGTGATAAAATATCAATCAATCATAAATATTTGTGAAGCCCTGGGCAGTCAAAGGCTGACTTCATTCTTAATGAAATGAACTTCCTTGGGGCTTTATATTTTTTAAATAAAAATCTGCTATTGATCGATCTTTTCCCCAAATCAGTATCGCACCGGCTGTATGACTTCAACCAATTCCAAGTGCAGCAGAATGGAAGCCCCAAGGTTTTTTAAAATGGATTCTCTCCGAGATGTCAGCCCCTCTCTGCGAGCAGTAAATGTTTCCACCACGAGGTGTCTCAGAGGTTAAAGCGCTGGAAGAAGAAATTTGGGACTGGCTCTTACTGCACACAAACAACTGGCATTGCCTCGCTGTCACACCTGCTTACGTCTGTTCAGGAAACAACAAAAAATCATGAGTATAAATGGGTTGTTTTCGCCTTTGTTGTGTGCTAAGTATAAGTGAACTGTTTTTTAGGGAGCTATTAATTTTTAGCATCCTTTGAAAGAAATAAAGAGTATAATTCTGCTCCCAGTCCTGCAAAAATCTGTACAACTTATCCAAAGTCCACAAAGTAGCTTTGAATTTCCACGTTATCTAGTAGAGTTCAGGATACGATTACATGTTTTGTAACTGCAATATGAGTATTTATCCTGGGCTTGAAATCAAAGAAACATCAATGTCACTATGGGGACTTGAAATAAAAATGACCTCTGGCAACAATCGCCTATTTTGTAAATATTCACACTAAGCAGCTTGCTGGTTTCATACAAAAACAAACACTGAGGAAGAAAGCTTGAGATGTTCTCCCCAGTATGTTCCGCTGTAAATAAACATTGTGTCTGAGACTGGAAACTCTTTATGACAACTGCGATAACATTTGAAGCGGTTTTGTAGTATTTCATAGAATCATAAAATCATAGGATGGTTCGGGTCGGAAGGGACCCCCCTGCCACGGGCAGGGACCCCTTCCACCAGACCAGGCTGCTCCAAGCCCCATCCAGCCTGGCCTTGGACACTTCCAGGGAGGGGGCATCCACAGCTTCTCTGGGCAACCTGTGCCAGTGCCTCACCACCCTCAGAGTGAAGAATTTCTTTCTTATATCTAATCTAAATCTCCCCTCTTTCAGTTTAAAGCCTTGTCCTATCGCTACATGCCCTTGTAAAAAGCCCTTCTCCAGCTTTCTCGCAGGTTCCCTTCAGGTACAGGAAGGCTGCCATAAGGTCTCCCCAGAGCCTTCTCTTCTCCAGGAGGAATATCCCCAACTCTCTCAGCCTGTCCTCATAGGAGAGGTGCTCCAGTGCACTGATCATCTTCATGGCCCTCCTCTGGACCCACTCCAACAGCTCCATGTCCTTCTCCTGTTGCGGACCCCAGAGCTGGACGCAGGGTTCCAGGTGGGGTCTCACGACAGCGGAGCAGAGGGGGAGAATCACCTCCCTCGCCCTGCTGGCCACGCTTCTTTGGATGCAGCCCAGGATATGGTTGGCTTTCTGGGCTGCAAGCGCACATTGCTGCGTCATGTTGAGCTTCTCAACCAACACCCCCAAGTTCTTCTCCTCAAGGCTGTTCTCAATCCATTCTCCATCCAGCCTGTATTTGTGCTTGGGATTGCCTTGACCCATGTGCAGGACCTTGCACTTGGCCTTGCTGAACTTCATGAGGCTCTCCTCTCAAGCCTGTCAAGGCCCCTCTGGATGGCATCCCTTCCCTCCAGCGTGTGGACCACACCACACAGCTTGGTGTCATCGGCAAACTTGCTGAGGGTGCACTCAATCCCAATGGCCATGTCGCCAACAAAGATGTCAAAAAGCACCGGTCCCAATTTCTCCATACTTCATATTGATCTGGTTACTGGGATGTTTAGTGCATATATAGACTAGTTGAGTTTAATGGAGGCTGTTGGGAGAAGCAAAAAAGGAGGCAGAACTCAAGACCCTTCCCTCCCCCAACATATTAATATCTACTTAAAAGATAACACCAGCGCTACTACTTCTGAAAATTTTTCATGCTGTACAACTGATATACAAAAGTGAATTAAGCCATGGTAAGAAGCGGTCCATGACCAAAGAGACCTGCACCAGGCCTTAGAGGAACATATGAAAGAGGGAATCAGGCTGACACTGAGGTGTCTGAAGTTACGAATGTCTCAGCTGCCATCAAGCATAGGGTAATCTTCAGGTAAGAAAGGCATGGATCTCAGCAGGTGGTTGATTTAGATAATTTTTCCCTAAACAATTTCCTCCTTCTATAAACATAAACAAAAGAAATCTGCATTATCTCTATATTATTAATTGCAGATCGCAGGAGGAAAGAGCGGCATGTGTCCAACCTGCTAATTAAGAATAATTACCCCATGAGGTTCTGTAAGCGTCCCATGTACAAACAGTAAAATCGCATGAATCACAGTAATGTGTACCACCGCTAAAGAAGCAATTAAATGTTGTGAGGAGATGCTGTGTCTCCATTCCCTGGGCATTCTCTGGGCATTTCTGACCAAGAAGGAAACAGTTTAATGGCTGTTTGCACAAATCCAAGTATGTCACAGAACTGGAGACGCTCAGGAATTTTAAAAATCAGGAAGCAAAAGAAGGAGCAGACCGGGAGATCGGGGCAGGGAGGCACCCAGAAGGTGCAGGCTAGCATCCTTACCCTGCCGCAGGCTCTGCTAGTCAAGCCTGTGGTGCACTCGGATAAACCTGCCTGGAACAACAGGGATTTCTGCAGAATGGTTTCATTATTCTAGGGCTCAACACGGTTTCATGAATAACAGCATCACCTTTTATAGAGTAAAGGAGGAAGTAAAATGCCTACAGCAACATCTGGTACATAAAGCTGAGAGGCAGGATGAAAGGAGCAGCTAATAGCTGCTGTAACGGCTGTTCAGCCGCACAGCACAGCTCTCGGCAACTTTCCTGTGGCACTTGATGATGAGAGTTCTCCTCTCCCCCCTGCGCTGTTTTCACTCCCTCCTTGAGCATGGATTAAGTCTGCTCTCCAAGAGGTTTTTCCTGTATACCATGATAAATATGCCTGGAGACCATTTTTTAACTCAGATGAGTGAAAGTAAAGCAAGGCCAGATAAGAGATTACAGTGGTTGTCAAGCAAACTTAGAGACTGAAAGAAGGGAAGGAGGGCTTGATTGTCTTTGCACAGTAACATCATTGATTTCAGTGGATACAATCTTGATTCCTAATGGAACAAAAGGGATCCAAATCAGGCTCAAGAGTCTACAAAAAAGGTAATACTGGATCTGCAGGGAAGTCTGCTATCTGAACACGACTGACACCACAAGTTCACAGTTCTGCTGGAAACTGTGTTCTGTCAGCCTGGAAGGGTTAAAGTTCAGGATTTTCCATTTTTAATTTCTCTGAACTAAATTAAGTTATTGAAATGTCTTAAGTAGCAGTAGTTTTGAGTCCTCTGTCAAAATCCAAACTAGCATCCAAGTCACAAAAGAGATTTTTTTCTGTGAAAGAAACATTCAGCAGACCAGTGAGGAAGCTCAACAGGGAACTTTCCCGGTCATGTCCCCTCTTTTCCCTTTCCCTCTTCTCCCTACCCTTCCCATGATGGGCAACGCAGCTGGTGTGGAAGGTCACAGGGGTAATCTCTAGCCTGTTTACAATTACTTTGCGCTACTTAGCAGATCCGAGAACATTGCTTTACTCCTCAGTGGTTTTTCTGACACTGCTTTGTGTTCTAGTCTTCCTGAGGGAGGGCTTGGTTGGTGAGACTGGATGGGTAAGACAAGCAGTGGGCCTGAAAAAAGAATCGATGGAATTATTGAACCCAAGAAGGAAATGTTACGCACTGCTATTATAACCTGAAAAGTGCAACTACTTA